TTCTGGATGGGGGCCCTAGCTTGTTTCAAAAAAGTTTCAGTAAAAGACAATATTGTAGCTTGGGGTTGAAATGAAGCTCTTTGAGCCCGGTTTTTTCCTTGCAGACGTTTCATTACCCAATTAGGTAATGTCATCAGTGCTAGAAGGGAGTAAAGGAGGCAACAGGGAGGAGGAGGAAAAGGACTGTGGGGTCCTTGGTGCTCTCTGAGCTTGGTGGTTTCCTTGCAGACCTTTCATGACCCAACTAGGTAACATCTTCAGTGCTAGAAAGGAGGGGGGTTGTGGAGGAGAAAGGAAGGATAGCTAACATCATCAGTGCTGGGAGGGAGGGGGTTTGCTCTCTGTTTAACTCCCAAGAAGAAAAGCCACCCATAGGACCAGCCCCCCCCATGTGTAAATAGAGAGGAAACCCCCTCTAGCCACATCTTTCTAACACAGAGCTGGAGAAATGGGCAAAAAGCTCTCGTGGTGGGTGGATCCTGAGCAGGTTGTCCCTCAGCCGAGGGAGAGCTGGGTGCCGATTCCTCTTAAATCAGACATAAATTATAGCGAACTCTCTGGTCTCTTTCCCTTACAGCCTCTTTACAACCAGCCTTCCGACACAAAAGTGTACCATGAAAACATCAAAACGTAAGAAAGAGGGCTGCTTGGGATAATGCTTGCTTCAAGTCTTCTGGGGGAGGGGGAAGGTCTTGTTATTATTATTATTATTTTGAGATGAAATTCCTGCCTTGTTTTATACTTGCCCTTTTAGTGGTTTTAGTTGTGATAGGATAGGATAGGATAGGATAGGATAGGATAGGATAGAAAATAGAATAGAAAATAGAATAGAAAATAGAATAGAAAATAGAATAGAAAATAGAATAGAAAATAAATAGAATAATGAATAGAATAGAATAGGATAGAATAGAAAATAAAATAGAAAATACCGTAGAATAGAAAATAGAATAGAATAGGAATACAATAGAAGGAATGGAATAGAATAGAAAATAGAGTAGAATAATGAATAGAATAGAATAGAATATAGAATAGAATATAGATAATAGAATATAGAATAGAATAGAAAATAGAATAGAATTTTCTATAGAATAGAAAATAGAATAGAAAATAGAATAGAATAATGAATAAAATAGAATAATAGAATAGGAATAGAATAGAACAGAACAGAATAGAATAGAATAGAATAGAATAACAGAGTTTGAAGGGACCTTGGAGGTCTTCTAGTCCAACCCCCTGCTTAGGCAGGAAACCTATATGCTCAACTGAGGTCCTCAACTTACAAGCACAACTGGAAACAATGTCCGTTGCAAAGCGAGGCAGTCATTCTGTGAATCACCATCCAATTTTATGAACCATTTTCGGCACTGTGGGCTTAGCGAATCACCGCAGTTGATAAGTGAATCCCACAGGGTCGTTAAGTGAATCCATCTCTCCCCCCCCCCCTCCACTGACTTAGCTTGTCCGAAGCCGGTTGGGAAAGTTGCAGGTGGCGATAGACACATGAGATGCACACACACATACACACACACGGGACGCTGCAACCGTCATAAATACGCACCATCGCCACGCGCTTGAGTTTTGATCATGTGACCGAGGGGAATGCTTCAACGGTCGTAAGTGTGAGGACCAATTGTCAATGGCTTTTTTTTTTTAAAGAAGTGCTGTTGTAACTTCGGACGGTCACTAAGCGGGTGATTGCAAGTCTAGGACTAGGAGTATCTCGATAGCAAGTTCAGGGGTACGAACTGTTTCTCCGTAAGGCTGAGGCCCGGGACTGGGGTTTAATGATTAATAGTCTTTTTGGGCAGGCAGGCAGGCGTTCCACCGTGGGTGACTTCTTCCGCGCGCGCGCACACAAAAAAGCCTTCTGCACGCTTTTTATCAACACAACTAGTATCTACACACACACACACAATGAAAGCACATGTACCAAAATAGGACACTAGCCGCCTTTTGTGAGCGAAGGGGGAACATTCCGAGGTGAAATTTGCCCAAGAATAAGCCGTGATACGGAATGAAGGAAACCTTGTCTTAGCTGTGTTGTGTTTGTTTGTCTCCCTCTCCCCCCCCCNCCCATCCCTCTCCTTCCCTCCCTCTCTCTCTCTCCCTCTCCCCTCCCTTCCTTCCCCTCTCCCTCTCCCTCTCCCTCTCCTTCTCCCTCCTTCGCTCCTCCCTCCCTCCCTCCCTCTCCCTCGCTCCCTCCCCTTCTTTCTACCTGTTTCTCAGTCTCTCTGACTCCGTCTCTTCGGTCTTTGGGGACTCCCCAGGAGCAGAAGATCTGCCAGCGCTACGACCAACTGATGGAGGCCTGGGAGAAGAAGGTGGACCGGATCGAGAACAACCCCCGCCGGAAGGCCAAGGAAAGCAAAACCCGGGAATATTACGAGAAGCAGTTCCCGGAGATCCGGAAGCAGCGGGAACAGCAGGAGAGATTCCAACGGTAAGGCAGGACCAGGAGGCCCGGTTACTTGAGGGACCGCCTCTTCCCGACCACCTCCGCCCGTCCCATCGTGCTCAGCAGGAGCAGTACCTGGTGGGCCCGGTCCGCTAAAAGACTTCCATCCGCTGGGCCTTTTCTGTGGTGGCTCCTGATCCCCGAAGGCAGAAATTAGGACCAGCAAACCTCTCGGCCTGATCCGTCCTCAGGACTCTTCTTCCATTCTCCTGGCTCTCCTCCTTTCATTTATTTTTTTATTTATTTCACTTTTAGCTCTTTAATCTAAAGGCCATTGATCTTTATTAAAAACTTGTTTATTAAAGAAAGATTTATTTAATCTTTAAAATTAAATGATTTATGTAACATTTCTTTATTGAAGAGACCGGACAGCCATCGGTCTGGAATGGTATAGGGGTTTCCTGCATGAGCTGGGGGTTGGACTAGATGACCTCCAAGGTCCCTTCCAACTCTGTTATTCTGCTATCCTTCCTTCCTTCCTTCCTTCCTTCCTTCCTTCCTTCCTTCCTTCCTTCCTTCCTTCCTTCCTTCCTTATCACTGAAGGTTTTTAAGAAGAGACTGGACAGCCGTTTGTCTGAAATGGTATAGGGTTTCCTGACTGAGCTGGGGGTTGGACTAGATGACCTCCAAGGTCCCTTCCAACTCTGTTATTCTGCTATCCTTCCTTCCTTCCTTCCTTCCTTCCTTCCTTATCACTGAAGGTTTTTAAGAAGAGACTGGACAGCCGTTTGTCTGAAATGGTATAGGGTTTCCTGCCTGAGCAGCGGGTTGGACTAGATGACCTCCAAGGTCCCTTCCAACTCTGTTATTCTGCTATCTTTCCCTCCCTCCCTCCCTCCCTCCCTTCCTCCCTTCCTTCCT